TCTTTTGGGAAAATGCCCTGAAGGGGAATAGCTGGGTTAAGTGAGACTTCCAACCCTAGTTTTATGAGGAATCTCCAAACTTATTTCCCCAGTGGCTTCACCAATCTACACTCCCACCAGCAGTGGAGTAGGGTTCCTTTTTCCCCACAGCCTCTCCAGCATTTGTTATTGGTTGATTTCTTGATGATAGCCATTCTTTCTGGGGTGAGATGGAATCTCAGTGTTGTTTTAATTTGCATTTTTTGAATGACTAATGATGTTGAACATTTTTTCATGTATTTATTCACCATTAGTATTCCTTCATTTGAGAAGTGTGTATTCATCTCAGATGCCCATTTTGGGATTAGATCTTTGAATATAGGGCGGGTCTGATTTTTTTAATTCTTTGTATGTCCTAGATAGAAGTCCTTTGTCTAAGTGGCAGTTGGCTAAAGTTTTTCCCAATTTGTGGGTTTTCTTTGTACTCTGTTGGTTATTTCTTTGATGTGTAAAAACTTCTCAATAAGATGACAACCCAGTTGATTCTTTGAAGTATTTCTCGTGCAGTTTGGTTTTTGTTCATGAACTCTCTGCTTACCCCTATGTCTTCAAGATTTTTACCTACTTTCTCTTCCAATAAATTTAGTGTTTCTGTTTTAATATTTAGATTATTGATCCATTTAGACTTTAGTGCATGTGAAAGACATGGGTCTCGTTTTAGTCTTCAGCATATGGAAAGCCAGTTTTTCCAGCATCATTTATTAAAGAGGCTATCTTTCTTCCATTAAACATGTTTGGCCCCTTTGTCAAAGATAAGGTGACTGAGTTTGTTTATAGTTGTGTCTGTATCTTCTAATCTGCTCCATTGATCTTCTGGTCTATTTTTGTGCCAGTGCTATGCTGATTTTATCACAAAAGATTTGTAATATAATTTCAAATCAAGAATTGGTATCATGGATTTTTTTAAAAATTTATTTAATTCTCTGTCATGGAGTTTTTGCTATATTACAGGATTTTGCACTATATAGGTATTTATATATTTATGATTTTAATTTTTTGTCCTAAAGGTCAATAAGGGAGTGGGAAAGGTTTATAGGAGTGTGGGAAGGGTTTATAAAGCTTTA